GTCGGAAGTGTAAACCGAGTGACTTTGGGGTTTTATAGAATAAAGCGCGATAGATGCAGTCGGTTAGTGGGCCGACTAGAGTGCAAAACGAGATTGACTTACGGCGACCCTCAAACAAACGTTCTGCCTACATGGTAAAAAGCACCCGCATATATATCCAGTGGTTTTAGCTTGATCGCACTGATCGCTTATTCCAGCCGTGGCCGGGTCCGCCCAATAACCTGCTCCCAAAATGTAATGCGACGCTGGATCGAGCCACAGGTACAGCCAGAAACAGTAGTGGCGGCCGTCAAGCGCGTACGGGTGTCCGCAGATCCGGCGTCTGTCAACGGCAAGGCGGATGATGGCAGAGAGGACGCGCTGCCGGCCAAGCGACGTTTTCCGAGGAAAAATGAGAACCGATTTACGTCCCTCTTGTGGCGGCGAGTCTCGAGCCTGCGAGCCGTGGTCTTCGGGTTCCAGAGGGGTAACTCTCTGAACCAAGCTTTGGGGTTCCTTTGCACCCGCCGCTGCCGCGGGATGCGCCCGATCCTCATCGTGGTAGTGCTGGAAAGTCACAGGCCGATGCCATCTTGATCCCAAGCGATGACGAGTTTAATGATCTCGATGGCCGATCCGACACATCTTTTAAGTCGCTTCTATTATATGCACGCAACAAGTTAAATCCGACCGTGTTACTGGCATAGGTATGTGCCTGGATCTCGAATTTCTCGGTAGGCCAACAGGTTGACATGTCTGAACAGGCAAAAGTGTCGACGCTGCTTCCGACGATAGCGACGTACCAGAGCCCTCGGTTTCCAGCATGGCTGGTTTAGGCGATGAATCGCCTGCCTCGCCTGTAGCTTTAGATGCGGAGTACGACCCACCAGTTCCGGCATCCCCGGCATCCCGCCATGCGCTCGCGTGCGCAGCAGGGTCGTCTTGTCGTCAGGGCGACGGACGTGCCGGCCACCCGAACCTATCTGCATTTTACCGTCGACTTCGAGATGCCAAGTCGCTCAAGGCCAAGGCGGACAACGAGGGTAGCGAAGGCGACGAGCCCGAGCCGGCCGATGCCGGACTGCTCTTGCAGCCGCCCAACAGCCAAGACCGGATCGACTTCCCTGCCGTGCCGCCGCAAGTTGTGGAGAGCCGGGCACGCATACCACACTGCCGGACGACGAGAGCACCAGCGAGCTCGAACCGGCGGATGCCGAGCCACGCTTTTAGCCCTAGAGCCCATGCAGCGCCACCTCCGGTCGTGGGGTTGATCTACAACAGAGGTCCGGCAGCTGCCACCTCTTTCGACATCGTGATCACCGCGGCGACAGCGTTCAAACAAGTGACCCAGAACACCGCCATCCTCTCGTTCTGGACGACGGAGGAGAGCAGAATGAGGATTGTTCTGTTGTGCCGCCGCAAGCGCAGGAGAGTCGGGCAGGCATGCCAAGTTTGTCGGGCGATGAGAGCGGCAACGAAAGTGAGCTGGCCAATACCGAGCCATCTATGCAGCCGTCCGCCAGCCAGGAGCAAGTCAACCTTTAGCACAACA